AAATCATTAGTTAAAACCGATATTTGTCAAATTCGCGCCTAAAGCAGACTACGAATGTTCACATTTATTTTCTTAAAAAAAACTAAATTGAAATTCAAAGTAAGGCTACTAATTAAAGATATGCATTAGGTATATATACTTGAATTTTAATTGTTTTGGAGAAGGTTAGGTCAGCAGTGAGACTGTCACGTTATCTAAAAAGAACCAATGAGGAAAATATTGCTAATGCTGTTTGGGCTTGCAATTAAGCCCATGAGCAGAAAACAGGGGGGCCTGAGATTATGCCAGGTCTTGTTTCAACCGAGCTCTCTTTCATTTTGGGGATAATCACGCCCAGCAATTCAACAGAAAAACTATTAACGTACAAGAGGCCCCAACTGAAGTCAATTTTCTTTAAAAAATGCACATATAACAAAACAAAGAAAAGAAAGTTTATTAAACTCTGAAACTCAAATATGCTGAATAACCTCATTATGGATTTTAACATGCCATTAGCAACAAACATAGGTCTAAACTACCTTAAGCTTCTCAGTAATCACATTAATATCAAATACATAATTTTGCTAAACCATTAAATTGGATATACCTTGCATTCAGACAATGCATTTGTATGACATGTTAATCAATATCCTCTAATAAACAACCCAAATAAGTTGTTGAAGCTATTATGGACAATACATAAAAAGGTGAACTAATCTAAACATTCACACATGAAGGCTCCCCACTAAACTGTTAACTATCAAGTAGATCCCAACTACTTAAATATGAAAACTCGTACATTACAAACAATAAAGCTAAATAACTGGAAAGAATCATATGAGAAGTAAAAACTGAAATTTAACATTTTAAGCTAAACTATTTAAACTGAAATTTAACACATGAAAGAGATACTATTCAGCACTTTCAATACTAAGCCTCCTAGCTGGTTCATGGAACAACACAGCAAATTTAATGTATTTAAGTAGAAGCTAGAGAGGAAGAAGCTAAAGAACAAAAGTCAAATGACTTGAAAAACATCAAAAGAAGCTGAAATTTAAACATGAATCTTAAACTCCATAGCAGCAGTACACTCTTCAAAATAGGCTTGCATTTCATTCATCATTCAACGATCAAGATATACCTGGTTACAAGGAATAAGAAACAAGGCCGTGAATCTTCAAGGAAACAGCAAAAGACAAGACAGGAAACCAATGAAACTAGTAGCAATGACCAGCAGTATCACGACTTCAACCTCAAACCATCTTGCAACTCAAGAAAACCCAGACATGCTAAAAAAATGAACTAAATACTGATTAAAATTAAACTAAAATCTATTTATCATGCAAGCAGAACCAATGAAGAAAACACAATCAATAAATAAAAGATGGGAATATCAGTGGTGAAATCAAATTGGTACTTAAAGAAAGGGAGGAGGTGAGATTTTACCCCGTTTAACTCAGAAGAAGCAATGATAAAGAACTTGAAGGGAACCGATGAATTCTGGCTGGAATTGAACATGTCCGAATCTGATGTTCTCGGAATGACTCAAAACTATCGTCAATCGATTACCCTTGTTGAGAGCAATCTATTAACGTAAGATTTAAGTCAAAACGAGTCGGAGTTGTACAAAAATCAAAAAAGGAAAAGGAAATTAGGGTTTGCCTTTTTTGGGGGTTCAGATCCGAAATTAAGTGAATTTGGCTGGGATTTAGTGAAAACTAATGATGGATTTGGGAAGAAGGGGGGATGAGGATTGCATGGTGTAATTTTGGGATGGTTTGGAGACCGGCCGCCGCCGTGAAATGATTTCCGACGGGCGGCGGCTAGGGTTTAGGCCATGTGAAACTGGGAGCGTTTGGGGGCGGCTAGGGTTTAGGTTAGAGACGGATGAGAGTGAAATGAGAGGGGTTCTATGGGGGGTCTAATTCAGACAGTTTTATGGGAAATGGGGGTTCAGTTGTGAGCCGTTGGATCAAAACGTGAATTGTGAGCTGGGATGAAAGAACATGAAACGGGGTCATTTTGGAGGGTGGGGATTGGACCGGGTATGGAAGGGAATTGGGCAGGATTTTTGAGGCATTTTTTGGGCTATGTAAGACTTTGGCCCAATATTTAGACACTTTCTTTAATTCCCCCTTTTTTGTATTTTCTTTTTTCTTCTTCTTTATTTTAAAATCCTAAATTAATTTAGAAACCTAGACTAGGTCATAAATCAAATCTAAATTATGAAATAAACCTAATTAACTATTTCTAATATTTGAACAATTAATTTTAAAACTTAATGAAATTAAAGCTAAGGCTAAACTGTAACATGACCAAATTTCTTTGTGATTTTCTGTTTAATAAAGCAATTAACTAACAAATTAATTCTAAAATACAAACACAAACCTAAAATGTAATGCATGATATTTTGACATTTTGGGGCATTTTTCATGATTTTAACAAAATTAAACGTGCACAAAAATGCAAACAATTAATAAAAATACTTCAAAAACCCTAAAAATTAAAAAACAAATTGGAGAAAAATCTATTTCTTCAATTTTGTAGAAGTATCTTTTAGTAGGGCAAAAACCACGTGCTCACATCTCTCTAATTCGAGCGAGGTCGAATTTAGGCTTTGTTAATTCGAGCGAGGTCGAATTTAGACTTTGTTAATTCGAGCGAGGTCAAATTTAGACTTGTTAATTCGAGCGAGGTCGAATTTAGATTGATTCGAATGAGGTCGAATGTAGAATGATTCGAGCGAGGTCAAATGTAAGTTAATTCGAGCGAGGTCGAGTGTAAGTTAATTAGAGCGAGGTCGAATGTAGAATGATTCGAACGAGGTTGAATGTAAGTTAATTCCAGCGAGGTCAAATGTATGTTAATCAAGCGAGGTCGAATTTAGATTGATTCGAACGAGGTCGAATGTAGAATGATTCGAGCGAGGTCGAATGTAAGTTAATTCGACGAGATCGAATCCACCTTTCCTTTGTGTTGCGTGATGTGTAGTTTTGGTGGAGTTGTGTAAGAATGTCATATACCGCTTCATTTATTCATTGGAGAGTATTACATATTTCTGTTCGGTCCGTACATACATTCGAGGAGTCCCAGTCTATCTAGTTCATCGCTTGGCCTGGAGAGGTAGTTGGTAGGCCGGGCGATTAATGTCTCGCTCAAACTTCGAGGCGTCTCAATATATGTACGAGATTGAATTTTGGCTAGTTTTGTCGTTGCATTGTGACTTTGGCGAGCACGTGGGTGAGTTTCACGCACTTGTGTTCTTTCTGCATGTTGGAGAGATTCGTATGTTTTCCAGGTTGGTGACCCAGTCCCAGTCTATACCGGCTTTTCCTTTATGGCGTTGAGTACCAACTTGTCAGGGGGGTTTCGCTCGACCGTTGCTTGCAGGATGATAGGACGCGGAGCGTGTGCTATTTTGATGGCGTTTGTTCCCTGTTCGCGTGTCGGTGGGGGTGCCCCTGTTCCTGTCTTACCCTGACAAGAAATAGCATGTTAAAGCCAAACAAAATTGTTTGTTACCTCGACTGATTAGTTGACGAGTGGAAGGGAGCGACCATGTTCCCTTCTTTGGTTATGCTTCGTAGCTGCTATCATTGGTTGGGCTAGTATCCACCGAATTTGGATGGCATCTTGTGGGTCTTTGGCTTGGTGTTTTGATGTCTATATGGGTCTAAAAAGTCTCTTCGATCTGATTAGCAACGAACTGAGAGTGCTAGCTTTAGATCCGATCTCAGCCTCGTACTTAGCTTCAGCGTCAGTCGAATCTGAGCACCTTGTGGGTTGATGATTACTTCGCTCGTTGGGATCTTCGAGCTCAAGTCCCCATCCGATCCAGTACTGAGTGCATGAAGGCACGGAAACATAGGCCGCATCATGAGCACACAGGCGAGAGGATGAAGTTACAACGATCGGGAAGTAGAACTAAAACCGAGTTTAGTTCTAGAGGAAACTAAAACTTTGGCTAGAAAATCCCGACAGACGGCGCCAAATTGTTTGACTAAAAAGTATTAGGCATTTTTATTAAACCAAGTAATAAGAAGATTTGGGGCAAATCCTAGCCAGAGATAATTTATTCTAGATTTGAGATAGAAAATGGGAATAAACAAGCATAACTTAACATAAAATTTGATTACAGTGGTGATTGACTTTCATAATGGGAGAAATAGATGATTGTTCTAATAATATCAAATGATGATAAAGAATACATAAATGAAAAGAGTCACCATCCTTGAACAAGACCGACCTTCGTATATTTGATAAAGTTGAATTACAGATGAATATCGAGATTCTAAACTCTTCTCCTTTTCCGGCGAGGAGCCTGAAAGCAGGGAATATCTTCTCCTTCAGAGAGATGTACATGTTTTTCCCTGTGTGTGTGTTCCTCTTAGCCCTCTTTCTGTTACTATCTCCCATGATATCTATATAAAATACTTTCTTTACCCAGCGGTCCTTAATCAGAGTACCCAAATTCTTGGAATATTCCGTAGAATATTTCTCTAAAATGTCTAAGTGTTGAACTAGCCGTTTGGACCGAATTGAGTGCTCGACCTCGATCGTAGCTAAATCACTCGTCGGTATATTACTTCCTATACGTGATTTCGGCTTAGTTGCTTCTTGGTCGTTCTTCCTTAAGTAGAATTCCTTTGATCATATTTTGACTCATACATTATTGTTGTTGTTTTAGCATATCAAGAGAGATAATTTCTTTTTTCCTGTTATACTACAATATTAATTACTTATTTTAAATTATTTTTTGAATCTATTAAATATATACATCAATTAACATGGATATCATGATAAATTATGTACTTTATTTAATATTTTTTAAGACCGTGCAAAATTTATAGTGGACAAATAAAAGTGAACTGAAGGAGTTTATCTCTTTTCGTTTCAAAATGTGATATAAAAATTGGAAAATTGTACGCAAATTTTAAAATTTGACTAAAGACAAATTTAAGACCGGTGCACGGACCCCACAAACCGCACGTAGATAATTCCCAATTGCTTTTGAACATTATCTTTAAGTGTTTGTGTTGAGAATGTTCCAAGCATCCTTTGACCATTACAAGGTTACCATGTCCTAAGGACACGTTTGTCTCCTTAAACGACCTCGTTTTCTTCTTCACCTCCTTTCCTCCTCCTCCTCCACACCCTGCCGCAGCTCAGAGAAGCCAATGATGAAATCCATTTCCATGGCCAAATCCTCCCCATGTTGTCGCCTTCAATGTATGTATAAAATCCTCTTTTATTTATTTCATAATTAATACTACTATTTAAAGCATAATTTTTTTTTCAAGAATGCATCTTTCTGCGTTTATAATGTTTAGGTTTTGATCTGCTATTCATAATAATTTTATACCCACATCGGTTTTTCTCATATTTTTCTCTTCAATATTTGTGGAATTTCTTTTCCTTTTCGGGTATTTTTAATTCCCGCAGTTTTTATTTTATTTTATTTTTTGAGAATGAATTGATTTTTTTTTTGGAATTATTCGAAAAACAAAGAATTTAAGATGGGAAATTGATAACCAACTTCCACTCCTTTTTGCTTGATAAAAAAGAAATGATTGCATTTAAACTCTAGCTTGTGTAAATGCTTTAAATATAAATTTTATATTCATATTCCAGCTGCAAAGGGACCACTGTTGATTTTCATCCTCTTTGGTGTTTTGCTAAAGCTCCTTTCTCTTGTCATTTTCCATGTCTGTCTTCTGTGTTGCTGAAACGAATCTTCCATGTGATTGAGATTGCCTTGTATATATGTTTGTACATTTTTGTGTGTGACTGTGTGTACAATATTGTATTCTTAAAGAAGCACAAGATTAAGTTGGCATTTCAAATCCATTTGAAGTTTGTGGAACATGAGAAAAAGTCGGTATCTTTTTCAGGTTATTGGATAATGTTGTTTATTGGCCTAAAATTTGGATAGCTTTTTTGGCTCAAGAAAATATTTTTAAAATGGCAAAAAGGCAAGTGTTCATTTGAATGTTTTGGTGTCTTGTGTACATGCCTTTTATTTTATTAAAAACCCAGATTAGTGTTTCCTTTTCTTTAGTTGGATGGTTGCATGTATTTTTTATGTGATGTCCATATTTCCAAGATTTGAAGCAAGAACAAATTCTGTACAATGGCTTAGCTTTCCGGTGAGTTTGTGCCTAACTTATGCTTTTGCTTTCAGCTAAAGGACTAGGAGATAGGTAGACAAAGAAATCTTCGGTTAGCTATGGATCATATACAGTCAAGGGAAAGTGATTTAGAGATAGATCTAGAGAGTGGGGGAACAACTAGTGAGGAAGAGGGCAGTAATAACCGTTATCTGACTGAGGAAGCTTCTAATAAAGAGTTGTATAAAGCGGGGAGTGGGTTTCGTGGAGTTCAACCGTCACATGGATTTGCAAGGAAGCAAGATGGTTCAAATTCTTATAAGAAGGTGTTAAGTGCTGATGAGCTTTCCGTTAGGTGTACAGAAATTTGGTCGAACAAAGTCAGAGAGGAGATGGAAAATTCGAGGGATGATAAAATGGATATTGAGAGGACAAGGAAGCCAAAGCCTCCTAAACCACCTAGACCCCCAAAGGGTCCATCACTAGATGCTGCTGACATTAAGTTCGTCAAGGAAATATCTGAGATTGCTATATGGAAGCGTAGAAGGACTGAAAGAATTAAGGCATTGAAGAAAATTAAAAAGGAGAGTGCATCACCTTCGAAGATGAATATATTAGCAACTGTGATCACGGTTCTGTTCTTCTTGATTATTATATTTCAAGGTACTCTCGTATCCTGGGGCATGCGAAATTTTGATGCATCGGCATTATTGAGAGTATGAACTTCTTCATAAAATTTGTTATCTTGGATATCTTTTGAATGTTCTTCTTTCAATATCCTAGGGCATCTAAACCAAGTATATGTCTTTTTATTGCTGACCTAGTGTTTATCGTTTTGAGTGAGATAATGACTTGCATATAAAGTTGTTAGGTATTTTTACTTTTGAAGGTACTACATTTTGTTGTACGTTCAAATTTCTCTTGTTTTTGCCTCCGTTAGATATATCTGAAGATTAGTTTTTCTTTTGCTGCTAAACTGCCTGAAAGAAAATGAAGATCACAGCTCTTTACTGCAATACTTTAGCATACAATTCTTATAGGAACATTGATCTTAAAGACACTGGGTGGCTCAAGGCATGGTCCATTTAATTTGGAATAATCCAATTAAGTTTTGGTGATTAAACTGTCGCAGAAGGATGGGGAAAAGAAATGACATGTTAGGATGGAGGATTTGCATATTATTATTTTTTTTTTTTTTTTTTTTGGATTTGCATATTACTTGAAGAAATAATCAGGTGGTTTATCTTGTATGGAGGTTAACATATTTTAGTGTCAATGCTATGGCTGTACGAGCTTATTGGTTGTCAATTCTTATTATTTCTTCTTTGTTTAACTCTTCTTGTTCCATGTTCCTTATGAGAACTGTCTATATGAAACGATAGTGCGCACCCAGAAAAAAGCATGATAACTTGCTGAAGAAATTGAATAAAAAAGCTAGGAAGGGAGAGATCAAGGTTCTAGCTTGCAGCAGTTGCCTATATACAAAACTATATCGTTATTCAAAATGCTCTGGAAGTTTCATTAGCTAAATGCACCGAAGTCCAATTTATGTCTGTCGTTAATTATTATGAGCCAAAACCTTTGCTTTGCAAGTTAAAGATTTCCTCTTCCTCTGGTTGAATCATACAATATCAGAAGCTTACTGAAACTTGTCTTCTTCATTTTCCTTATAATTATTGCATGAAAATCTTAAGCTGGTCGACATTGGCACGCTTCTAGTGTTTCAACTGAAGCTGCATACATTTGATGGAATTAAGTAGGTAGTTTCTGGTTTTCCAGTTAGGCATTAACTAGGTGACCGAATTGTGCTTAATGAAGCATGGTGTAGCACTCAATCAAATTTTGAAATGCCATTTCATAATGTCTGTTCAAAAATTTTCCTAATACGTAGCTGAACTTTCTTAGGTATGTGAATGTCACTGTTTGTACTAATTACAGCTTTCTGGAAATACTATTTTACTGTATATGTACAAATGAATGTGAAGTAAAATTATTGCCTCATTTGGAGCGAAAACATTGATCATTATATGTTAAAAAACTGATTAAACTTCATCTGGTTTAGGAAAACTACTATTTGCTCTTTGGTGGAAATACAGCTGTGTTTTACTATTTTATATAACAACAGAAGAAAATACCATAACACGGAAGAACAAAATTCTAAGCATATTAGCTAATTTCTATAAATATAGGGAGAAAAATCAGTGTATTAGAGGAGTTACGATGAAATTAGCTCAACATTGATAGGAGGAGAATCAAAATACTCTTGCACTAACGGCTTCAAATTGTACAATCTCCTTTATCTGTTATTGTTCCATTGTTGATTGTATTTTCAATGAAGTATATCATGATAATTTTTTCGTAATTTACAGGTGTTCTGGGCTCTCGTGTGTGACAGCAGTTAGTATGCCGCCTTTCAAGTTCAGAGTGGTAGGTTTTGCATCCACTTTCTTTTTAACTTTTCTGTTTCACTGGCTTAAGGTGTGTGGTATCTGAATATGTTCTCGCTTACCAAGTTATCATTCACCTTAGATACTCCCATCCGCTCAACAATCAGGCAGGCCAGTTTTAGAGGGGAGCAACTGGGGGCTTCCATCCCCGTAACTTTTCAAAATCAGATTTTAACTCTTCCTCTTTCATTTTCTGTACAAAAGTGTTGGTCGTGTGTTTCTTCCTCGAAATAGAAATGAGCTTTCACAAATGTCTGAAAACAAATATGGTTTATTAAGCACTCAAACAACTAGCAAATCATGATATGATCTATCTTACTGGATGAGAATTGCTCGCCTCCTGATAGACATTGGTAATTCACCATGCAAAACCAACTGCAAGTCAAAAGGGCTAGTGCAGTTACTTATCACTTTCGACGAGAAGCCCACTATACACTTTACTGTGTATTTTTCTGCATTGTTCTGTTTCACTGAAAAATGTTTATACGAAAGTCCTGCCTGTATATTTAGTCTGAATCCACAAGGCTAGATGAGTCAAGAGAAAAACAATGTGATGTGCATTGTGGAAGCAAGTTTCAGTTTTCTGGATATTCCATCATTAGTAACTGTTTACTTCTTGCAACAATGCAGATCAGGGGTTGTGGATGTGGAATCGCTTGCCTCAAACAATCAAAATTATTTCGAAATGGGTAAATTGCGGCTGCTCTTGTATAGAAATGTAACAACGATTTTGGATTTTGGTAAAGAGCTCCTGATATTTGTAGGTGTGCCAGAAAAAGGGATTTCAACTCTTGATCCAGGCATGAATTTGATGTTGTACATTTGTACTAAATGGGGCCATTGCAGAGCTTGACTTGCGGAATAGAATTACTAATCTTGACTTCAGGCATGAATATTTTGGTTATAATGACTCTTGAGGGAAGTATTACTCCTTTTGCCTATGAGATACAATTGACGTTTAGAGGTCAAACATCACACTTTAACGTTATATAACACGACTTCCAACAGAAGAGATTGTGGTGTATGTTACCAAAATAAGTTAAATAATTTTCCGGAAATTTTTTCAACCAAACGCCATTTGAAGACGTTTTCAGTTTTTGCAATTCTCACGAAAAACAAAAGCTATCTATGACCATCTACTCCCTCTGTCCGCAATCCACAGTAATTGTCGATCTTCCAATTTATATGCCTATGTCATCGCCTTTTTTTTTTTAAGGCAAAATACATAGTTTACCATTAACCATACAGCGAAATTTCTGTTACACACTTTTTATACATGGAAATTTTTTTACACACTCAGCCTTTCAAAAGTGTGTCTAAGACGCATTACTTTGACCAAGTAGCACCCGCGTGTTTACACACAAAAAACACACATGAAGCCCGTAAAACAATCCCATATTTTGACTCTCCTCCCCATAGGAACCCCTCCCCCTCCCCTGGTCTTCTTCCTCAGACCACCCTCCCCCTCATCTTCCTCCCCACATAGAATTATTGAAAGAACATCTGAATTTGAGCGATTTTTGTTGGTTTACTATCCAAATATTGTGGAAACCATCTTAAATTGAGCGACTTTTGTTGCTTCAACGGTAATATTGAAGGTTTTGTGAAAAAAATCTAGAATCCACCATTGCTGGGATATTCAAAAAGCTTGAAAATTCATTTGGAGCTTATTGTTGGGTTGTTGAACTCAATTTGTTGATTGATTTTTTTCGGCTTGTTTAGTTAGTGTGGTCGAATTTTAGTGTTGTCAAAAACTTTCTCACAAGCAACAATGGTGCTTAAGATAGAAAATGCAAAGATGAAAAAGATAGGGTTCAATTGTAATTTCTAATGTTTCTTCTCTTTTTAAAGTCAATGACACATGTCACGCCCTAAGACTTTAACGTGTGTCTTAAACACACTTTTGAAAGGTTCACTGTGTAAAAAAATTTACTTTCACACAAGAGGTGTTTAACAGAGATTTCGATGCACGATCCATGGGTAAACTATGTATTTTGCTTTTTTTTAAATATGACTACTTTTATTCTAAAGGTACCCCCTCACACACATCGACCTTACATATAAAACATGAATGTCTGATACTGATTACTTGTAAAAGAACAATGCTGAAGAATAAAATGTTCCAGTTTTCTTGAATTATGTGAAAAGCAAACATGATGATAGGGGAAGAATGCAATAGATAATTAACAAGTCTTGATAGAAGTAAAATAAAGAGAGCATTTGTTATTAGTGTATGTTTATAATGCAAATCCCTAATTCTCACTTTACTGATCAAAAGCAGTTCCTAACATGGGCAATATCCCCTGATGCAGTTGGCTGCCTTGTGAACAATTTCCATCCAAGAAGTTCAAAACAGGAACATAAGGGCAGAATGTTTTTCCTCACTAAAAGGACCAAAACCAAATGATTTATTAGGCTTTCACAGGTTCAGCTCTGGGCCTCCAAAGTCCCAGCCTATATTTGTGGGTGTACTTCAATATCAACTTCCTCTGCAACATCACAAGCAATATGTCAAGAAGCGCGCGAAAACACAGCAGAAGGGATTGATGGCAGTGATTTAAAACACAGTGCCATGATTAATCAATGCAGCATACCAATATGGCATACTACTTATTGTGTAAAAGCTAGCGCTATGGTGTGCTTATCTCCTAATATTAGAAAGTGCCTACAGGAACTAGTTCTAAGCATTAGTTCGCTCAGTTTCTCAGGGTTACCAAATTGGCAAAAAATTAGGAACTGTTAACTGTCGAAATCTCATAAGAAAGGATTACTCTACTAAGACTATAAAGCCTTAAATTTGGCCACCACTAAATAGCAAACTTGATATGATAAGCAAAATTGATATCATTCGCTCCACCTTCATATTCATGCATGACAATTACAACCAAAAGCTAATCTTCACTAATTCTTCCAGTTGTTGGGCAGTCCAAAGGTGAACACATGCAATCCCTTCTCCTTTTTGATAACCATGCTTTTTACAATTTTCTTGATAAAAGTGTTTTGGAATATCCAAAGATGAATAAAAAGCAAACAGACAAACCCATACTTCTCTTTCCCCACCCTATTTTACAGTGTAACTCCACCTAATTTCACACAGCTTCTAATATTTGGCATCCCATTTCAGCTGTCCTTACCAAAACCCCTAATCCAAGACTATACTACAAACCTCTAAGGTGGTACATAAAGCAAGCAAACTGCGCATAATGTAACGGAGCAAAATTTCTTACAACTTTGCAGTTTGGAGGGTAAACTTCCAGATATACCGAACTAACACAAGTAACAAACTAATCAATCATCTCAATAGGATAACTTGCACAAGACATCAATTTAGACATATTACATCATTTTATAATACATGTTCAAACACACCACTATCGCAAATTATGCTCTTCGACAGTAACGGTCAATCCTCAACTATGATGGACAGTCAACTACATAAAAAAATTTGTTTTACAGATACAGTTACGAGACATTATTCAAATGGAGAGCTCAATTAACCACTACATCAGATGAACATCATTAAAGCATATAAAAAAATTATGTTGAATAGCATTTGAATGCAAAAATTTAAGAACCAAATTTGGATGTCTTACTGCTTAAATGCATATCAGAGAACTAAATTGGCTCCTAACGGTGGTCATACTTATAAACTTGTCAAGAACAACTTTGTCGAAAAGATGTCTAGTCTCAAAAGTTACATCTTGATCATGATCTTTCAACCAACTGATCTAATTAACCTTTTTTGATGAAATAAGACTCTTCATTGCAGGCATCCAGATGCAAAGTTACAAGAAGGAATTGAGTAAGCTCCATTACAACAAAAGACTTAAAACTGCTTAGGGAGATAACCACAAAAAACAAAAGTAACTGATATTAACCTACATCTTCCAGGGACTCTCAACCCTATATTACAACAACAACAAACCCAGTTTGATCCTAACATGTGGGGTCTGGGGAGGGTAGTCTGTACGCAGACCTTACCCCTACCTAATGCAGGCACAGAGGCTGTTTCCAAACTCTCAACCATATATTCTTGATGCAAAATACTGCAGGACATCCATTTCAGCGGACTTGCAAAAACATGTAGGGCTATTGACACTGTTAAAGTAGAACTTCAAAGCCAAGACATATTATGACACTTCTACATAATCTCATAGCAAAGATGGTATCGAATTGGATATCACATCAAAGCAAATGGACATAGACAGGTGGATATGGAGAGCGCAGAAGGATAACATCTCAGATTATTGAAAAGGGAGTGCAAGAATTTACTTCTCAATATGGATCCCTAGAGTGCCAACTAAAGCTTCCTTTTTTACCTGGACAAGGCACATGAAGCCATCTAAACAGCAGAAAACTTTACGGGAGGAGTACAATCCAAGTTCGTTGGTGCATCACGTGAAAGCAGGAGGGAACCATAACAATCACTTATTACTTCACTGTTCTATTTCATACAAGATTATGGTATATTCTGTGGAGCATATCGGGAGGTGGTATCGATGATTCCAGTAACTGTAAAGAAAGGTGCTTCTAGGTTAGTCTGCAATTCAGCACGAAGAGATGGAGGCACATGAGAAGTAGCTCTTCTAGCGTTCAAGTGGACAATAGGAAAGACAGAAATATGCGAGCGTTGGAAAGGCTAGAAAACTTGCTCCTATTGGTCGGTGCAGCATTTTGTTTTTTTATATATCTGGAACACCTTTGATATTCCGATTAGTATTGACGACTGTATAGGATCATGCCTTCTAGTAAGATTCTCCGCCTTTTATATACATTTTCATCTATGGGATTTTCCGTTCTCAATAATAAAATTAATAACTTCATCAAAAAAAGAGGAATATCATCTCAACCACAAGCGTAACTATTAAAATAACTTCAACAATCATACAACTCGAAATATCAAATACCTAAAACGAACTGAAAAACAAAATACTCCCACTATTAACTCTCTCATAGCCTTAATCCATGATTCTTTCCACTACTACTTATTGCATCTAGTGAGATTTTTCAACGACAGTGCAACTAGACAACTAATACAATTAATGAACTATAGAAAACGCAAATCTTTTGCAAGAATGCATTCTATCAGCCTGACAGAGGAATCAACTATACAGATTTTAGTTCTGAAGAATTACTTTAAATCTGGAAACCAATTTCCTTTTTTAATGCAATGAAACATAATATCCGAGCTACCCAACAACACAATCTTCCATCTCACATTTGTAAAAACAATAACATATTTACTAAAAAGCATTGGACAAATGAAACAAATTAAAAGGAAAGGGGATAAATACTGACATGTTTACAAGGGATGCCAAGTTTCTTGAGCTTAAGAGTGCGAGTAACAAGAAGCTTCGAGAAATCTCCAATCTCAGATTCTAGCTTCTCAACGTGGGTCTCTACTCCCTTTCCCACTCCATTCAAGAACTCTGGTATCCCTACCTTCACTGCACCCACGGTAGTTTGTGTTAAATTTTCACAAAGATTACAGCTATATTAAATTCTCAAGGATGAAATTGAAATACCTATGTAAGGACTGGATTTGGACGAAAAGCTAGCGAACCCAGTTGGCACCGACAAGTTTGAAGGTGCTGAGATTAATCTTCTGTTGGAAAATAGAATTTGCCTCCACGCCATGTTTATGACTTCCTGTGGATTAAGCTTTTATTTGTACGTGCATTAAGATTCAGCAAACTTTTTCCTCACCCAGCTAGTGTTTGAGGTTTATGTTCAAAACCCTCACACCAGTGTGCAAAGATAGTAGAACCTGAAACGGCACTGTCTTAACCTATCTTTTTTCATGAAAATTATCAAATGTATAAGAGGGAGAAAATAGCAAAAATGGTCTCTTATGTTTGGGGGTAATTTTAAAGTAGTCCTTTAGGTGTAATTTTGAGCAGTTTTGATCCTTAAGTTTATCAAAATTGAGCACTTTTGGTTATCCTTCAATACTTAACAAATTTTGGATAGTATATTCAAGGGGAATTGTGAGGAAAAAAATTTTAACCAAAAGCAGCAGAAAATTCTTTACAAATCTCATATTGCCATAAAAAATGGCACCAAATACTAAAATTAGATCAAAAATAGCAGAAATTGCACCTCAAAAAACTGCACAAACATCAGAAATGGACAAGGGTAACAGAATGCAGAAATTGCACCTCATAATGTGATTCCCTGCTAAATCTTTTTCTCAAGTTCATGCTAATTTAACAGTCAGTTTTGTTAAATATATGACATGAATAAAAATTTACAAACTTAAAGAATCAAAACGAAAATGTTTAATCCGCTTCTGATTAAAAGAGAGTAAAAGAACCAAAGGCAAGTTGATGGGATTTTAACCCAGCTATACTATAAGAGAAACCTATTTACCTCCTTTATTTAGGTTCCTTATTAATTACTTTGTATATTTATATTTACAAGTTATATACAAAACCATAAAAAAGAAGAAAATTCAAGATCCCTTAAATTTAGCCTATCAGTTACATGACACCCACCCCCATTTCCAATAACCGCTACATTTAAGATTCTATTCCTTTTCCAAAGGATTCCAAAAAATATTTTCTCTCTTGATAATCACCCAAAATCTTTCTTCCTTTTTTATACCCACTGTTATCTCCCCAAAATTGTCTATTATTTTCTTTTTCCAAAGCTTTTCAAACCCAATTTTCCTCTTTCTTACTACTCACCCAAAATCTCTCGTTCTTATTGATACAATGCAGACGAAATTCGGGATATTGCTTTAGAATCAAGTTGTGGGTAAATTTTGAATCTTGTTTTCTTTCTTTCTAAAATTTTTATTGTATGTGTCACACCTCCTTTTGCGAAGAATAAGAAATTTTTCCAATTTAAGTGACATTAATCGAAATGGGATTATTTATTTAATTTAGAGTCTCCACTAGGGATAATTATTATGGTGTCCCAAGTCACCGGTTTATTTTAAAATCCCAAATCGAGGAAATTGACTCTATTTATGGTCCGCAAACACAGAAGACCGGGTAAGGAATTCTGTTAACCCGGGAAAAGGTGTGAGGCACTCCCGAGTTCCGTGGTTTTAGCACAGTGGCTTAACAATTAATACTTGGCTTAATTAACTGAATTAATACATGTTTAAAACCTATTGCACCTTTTATCTTTTACTGCTTTTAATTAAATATTTAAAAGCTTTTTAGTATTTATGGAGTTATTTCTTGAACAAGTTACGATGTCGTACACTTGTCGTTTTGGTACACATTGCAAACTGCGCCACGTGAAACGCACCCGCGATTTACAACATGTTTATTATTATTTGAAGTTATGGTCGGGTCGCGTGAACGCGGAATTGGGGATTATGTATCATAACTATGCCACATGAACCGTACCCATAGTCACGATGTTTTATTATTAATCGCGCCTAAAGCAAGCTACAATGTTTCAAAATTGTTTAGTCCTAAACTAATTTGAGATTTTGTTGTGGCGGCTACGAATTATGGAAGTCACTTGGGGATAAGTGTACAAGTATTAATTGATTCTAATTCTTTGGACCTTTGCTGCATTGGAGTTCATTTGAAAGTAAGATTCACAATGCTAAAAACAACCTAACTTAATGAAACAAACTGAGCCCCACACAAATCCCTTCTAGGCAAGCTTCCGGACTTAAATATTTCTGAAGACAGAAGCCCAATAACTCTGTTAACACCTCTCTTAACATTTTTTTCCTTTTTGCATTTCAGCATCAAATACAAAATCAGCAACAGTCACATAAAGTTCTAAATATCAACATACGAATAAACAGATTATATGGCTAGTTCGCTAACTCAAACTCAATTTCGCAGAAAGCATTACACTATCAGCCATTGATGGAGGTTACTTCTTTCAATTGTTCTTAACATGAAACAAAGAACCTATATACTCGCTCGAGTAATTCACATCAGAAATACAAGCTGTACATATTGCAAATGATTAGGTCTACGTTATCATGTCATTATAAGATAAAAATCCAGAAATTTAGCAACTTCTACAGTACCACAGGGACTAAACTGAATGATTCAAACGACTTGAATGGACTTTAAATCTGTGAGGCATATCCTCTAACAACAAACAACCACATGAGTTCAAACGAATTGCAATCAAACCTCATAAATTCCCAAATATCAAACAGAGTTTCAATTCCGTCAATTCTAATCAATAACTTGAACAATTAATGTAAGCATATTAAGCATTAAGTGTTGAACAGAAAAGGGAAGACAAACAGAATTTGAGGCTTAGGCTAGCCAGATCTAAATCAGCATGAACTCAGCAGAATACAACAAAGTTTTATCCATAAATTCGAAATAAAGGACAAGTGAGGATTTACATACCTAAAGCAGGGAAATAAAGTTCGAAACCCAGGCAAATCAACTCGAAAAACAGCAAACAACAACAGCTTTGATTTTGAATTATTAGAATCCGAAACAACCTATCAAAACTCTATTGTTCTTCCTTTGTTTTTTTTTCGAATTTCATTCTCTTTTTTTGGTTTTTCTAGATCTCGGATTTTTGAATTTCAAACTTGCTTTCTACCTATTTCGTGTGTGTGAGTGAGAATATCAGATGATGGATTTCGTGTGTGTATGCAGATGATAGTGAAGTGAGAATGAGCTTGTGTGATACAGAGAAAAGAAAGAGAGGAGCGGCGCCTCAGAATTGGTTTGGTCGTTTAAGGGAAGGATAACCGACGTCGTATTGGGATGATATCACGTCGTTTAGTGGTCTCAGAGGTTAAGGGTTTTGGACCGGGTCTGGGGCAAATTTTTGGATACATTGGGCCTCCAAAGTCGCTTGGCCCAATCTGGAGTAAAACCAAGCAGCCTAACTTTCAGAAACCACTATGTTTTAGTGGTTATTAGCTAGTTGTAGCTACCATTTACTATATTACTTCCCATAGCTATGTTTTCAGATTTTTTAGAGTGTATTCGATGTATTTAAGCTACTGTATTCATGAATACAATAGCATTTCTATGCTTGAAACACGGGATTACAGCTAGACAAACTTTTGTATTCGAGTGTATTCGACTGTATTCATGGCGTGAAACATGGGATTACAGCTGGATAAATTATTGTATTCGACTGTATTCACGGCGTGAAACAGGGGATTACACTATTTTTAAACGGAAAGTGAATCAATTAACATAATAGACTCCTAATATAACTCAACAAACTCAATTATAACACACAAATTCTGTATTTCCAGTTATAAAAAATATTCTCAACCGAAAAACACCCCAAAAATATAGCAATCTTCAGAGAAATTATATAATACATCTGAATACATAAATTATATTAATTAAAAACAAACATATGAATACATTCATAGAATATGGCGAGACCGTGAATACAATGAAATACATAGAATACAGCGGGATACATTAAAAATACAATGAAAAAATATCACGCCCCAACCTCGGGAGGCGCGACCGGCGCTCGATCGAGTGAACCCAACCGAGCAAGCCTCATCACACACTTCCTACCCAACTCATCATAAACAAGGTAACCATGATTCTTTCTTATTTAGGCAAGGAAAGGTAGTACATTCAACAGTGATAATTCATTCTACAATACAAACATAAACCGTGGTTAAAGTTGGATTCCGAAATTCCCATAAAGTTACAATTTATAGATAGCATGAGTTTAGAATTACAACATGGTTCATGGACCCGTCAAACACCCGTACATAACCCACATATATGTCTACGGAGCCTCTAAGGATGTAAGAAAAGACAAGCATGAGTGCCGGCAACAAGGCCCCGGCTATACCTCAAAAGTAGGAGTCTATAACAAAAGATGCGTAATCTAACCCCTTGAAGGTGAAAGGGGCTCACCAAGACTTCGGAAGAAGGTACTCCGCTACACGCGATCAACACTATCTGCAATGGAGCCACCTACATTCATTTAAACAAATGTAGCGCCCCCGGCAAAGGGGACGTTAGTACCATGGAATAGTACTAGTATGTATAACTAAATTCCATCTAGTTAGAAAGAACTTCCATACAAGAATAAAACAATCATAAGTACAACTCAAGGGGGACTTTAAATGGCCACACATTTACAAATAAAGGAAGCATAAAATTTTCACATTGTGTTTCCATAACTTTCATCTTTTTGGGCATCTCATATTGTTCATCATTGTTCACATTACCACCGCTAACTTAAGCGGAGTCTGATCTCGACCCGATCGGCTAGGTCGCCTCATTTGAGACGTTCAATTCAATCACAAATTCATTACCACCATGTGCGTAGCATGGCGTCCGATCTCGGCCCGATCGGCTAGGGCGCCCTACCAAGGCGTTTCCCTTTCCCATCAATCATCTCATTTCGATTTTTGTTTCCCATAACTCATTTCATAGGCACTTTGGGCCACAACTGTCACACCATACATTCGACACTAGGCCACATCTCACATCATCCTCAATTTCAATGCTAGGTTTGTAGTTTAGGAAAATAGGTGTACCCAAAAGTAGTTTAAATTGCAAGCATGGATACAATTTCACATAAATGGCACAACATATGCACTTTCGATTTCAATTTAAGGTCTAGACATTTTGATTCATTATCCATAGTCCTTGCACCTTTCTTTAAGTCATCAAGAATAGCATGTTAATCATATTGAGATATACTTTCCACGCGTATGAGATTTCAGCACCAACAAAAGTGAAATAAACAATCAGTACAACAATTCGATTTTGATCTTAACGTATTCACACAGCTACCAATATAGCTCAATTTCTAAAGGACGGAGTTTTAGCCATACATACCTCAACCGAGCTTTCCTTAATCCTACATTGTTCCGGAGTGTTCGCACTTCAATCTATTTAAGCAATGCAGCACGATTTAACTCAAAATCAAGAAAAGACCATAATCTAAGCTCTCTTAAGCATTTTATCGAGCGTTTAGTGATCATTAAGGCTTTATGGTTCTTTTATGCAAGATTATACTAGCCCATCCTCCATGCCTTTGCATTTATAATTACCCATATTCTTCAAGAACACATGCATGCGATGTAATCCCCATTATCCCCCTGAATTATCTCACTAATGATCCCTTATAGCTATGTGCAAAAATAAGAGCTAAGGTGATGAAGTCTTACCTCTTGGGATGAAATTTTAGGTCCCTTGCTTGATTATCTTCAATGATCTAACAAGGTTTCTTGGAGTAATTTGATGAGAAGTACCTTCCCTCTCTTAGACCCCTCTCTCTCACTCTAGAAATGTCAAGAAATATGCTCAAAATGAGCTATTACACCGGATATAACGACAGGGGGGTCGGGTTTAAAACTTAGAAAATTGGAGCCCCGAGTCAGGTTTGCGATCGCAAAGTGGAAATACGGCCCGCAGAATGGGCCGCAAAAGTGCTCCCAAAATCTGATCATTCTGTCTGGGTTTGCGGTAGAAATGCGGTCCGCATACCCGTTCTGCGGTCGCATAATGCACCGCAGAACTGCCCTTTACAAGATTCTAAGATAATTATGCAACGACTATGCGATCCGCATATCAGTTATGCGATCGCATAATGGACCGCATTTTTGACCTCAAATTTGGCTAACACACTGACTCACTTTGCGATAGAAATGCGGTCCGCATACTTGATTTGCGACCGCATTCTAGACCGCATAAAAGCACTTTTCTGGAAAACTTTGATTCTTGATTTTAAATGCTTTGCTCAGTACAAAGGGTCCGAACCGCGACACATTCCTAACACACATTCGTAACTTAGCACTACGAGCTTCTAAGTTTTGAATACAAGTTTTCACGGGGCCTTACAAAAAAAAGATAATGAATACAATGAAATACATAGAATACATCGAGATACATTGAAATACAATGAAAAAAAAGACAATGAATATAATGAAATACAGAGAGATGCATTAAAATACATTGAAAAATATATTAACAGAAAATTCAAGTTTCTCAGCCCACAACTCCATCGTCTTTGTTCAAGAACGACCCTAATGTATTCTCGTTGAAGCAGCTCGCCGTCACCGTTGCCTCCGGTTGCCGACGATCCAGTGCCGCCTTTAATTCCAACTGTTGTTGCATCGGAGATCGTACGTGATCGAAGTTTCTAGGGAGGTAATGAGCACAAAGCAAAATTACCACCCATGAAATTCACTCTCCAAAATTTACACTCTCAAAATCAACTCAGCTTTCTAATATTTTGTTAACGTATATATCATTGACAAATTGCTTCCGATTTGCTTATTAGATAAAGATCTGAACTTTCCAGCTAAAATCGTACTAATTTCGTGTTTTCTTGTAGTGTATAGATCTTAAAACATAGTTGAGATATTTCAAGGAGAGGATATGAGATCGGGAAGTAGAGAGAGAGAGGGAGAATAGATATGGGGTAGGGGATAGGAGAAATTTGAGGGGATATGAGAGAGAAAAATAATACAAAACTTATTTTATGGCTTAAGGTTAGGAGGTGACCATAAATAGATATTTGTTTATAAAAAATTAAAAGGTAGCTATAGAATATAATTTTTTAAAAGGGTATTTTATTTAAAATAAATAAGGTATCAACCTTTGCTATAGGAGGTAACTAATCCTTCCTTTTTTTCCTTTCCTTTAGTTTTCAACTTTGACCAATTTTAATTAACATACCTAACCCAAACCAATTTTGTAAAATTAAACCTACTTACCTATTTTAATATACAATTAACTAATTTATTTAACTAACAAATACATTTAAAATTACTGATATATTTTTGGTATTTTAGTGCTTTCCAAATGCAATTAATTATTCAATTAAAATCTAAGAGAAAAATGTAAACATCAAAATATTTTTGTATTTCCTTAAGATTTAAAATCTAAAAATGCATCAAACATAAATACGCACAAAACAAATCAAGTAAAATATAGCAAAATTCCTAGAATTCTAAAAAATAATTAAAAGCTATTTTTGAAGTTTTCTAGGATTAATTTTATATATTGGGCAAAAATTACGTGCTCATAGTATGTGATTTGTATATGATGCATCAATACCCAAAACAATACTTGTTACAATACTAAGACAATTATAATACGATTATATTAGATTTTTACTATAGAGTTGTGATTAAAACTTGAAGAAGATGAAGATCATAATTGTATCACAAGTTTTTAGAAATGTATCACGGTTGTATTATAATTGTATATGTATCATAATTGTTGAATGAATTGTATTATAAATGTATGATCATTGTATATTATTACGATCGAGCAGTTGTGAGTTCGTGGACGAATTTCACAGTTTGTATCACAAATATATGATAATTATATATTAATTTATTAGTATTGTATCAGGTACTATTTTGGGTATTAATATATCATATGATACAAGTATGACACAATTATGTTTTAAGCATTGATGTATCTAATACAATTCAAGTACAATTATGATAGAGTTATCATATAATTATCATACAATTCCTGAATATTTCTTCATTTTCAGTGTGAAGATTGTCACGACCCAAACCGATGGGCCGCGACGGTCACCCGGTGCCTTACTCAATCGAGTACCAACGTAACATATCTTTCTTATCATACTATCATTGGTAGCTGGGCCAACATGGCCACAACTCGTAATGTATAACTATAAGTGGGAAAGCATTGTATCAATGAACCATCTTTCTTAAAACATGGATACATATGGGCCTTCAAGGCCC